CATCTGAAAATTTCAGGGCAGATAGATCTTGACCTTATAAACAATTTTACCCCATGTCAGATTTGCTCTAAATGCTTTGGTTTCAGATATATAAGCTAAAATCTACATTTTACCCCTATGTTCTATTTTTAGCCATGGCGGCCATCTTGGTTGGTTGGCTGGGTCACTGGACACATTTTTTAAACTAGATACCCCAATAATGATCGTGGCCAAGTTTGGTTAAATTTGGCAAAGTAGTTTCAGAGGAGAAGATTTTTGTAAAAGATTACAGAAATTTACGAAAAATGGTTAAAAATTGACTATAAAGGGCAATAACTCCTTAAGGGGTCAAATAACCAAAAACTGCAAAATTTCCTTAAAATTACCAATTCAGGGGCAGCAACCCAACAACGGGTTTTCCGATTCATCTGAAAATTTCAGGGCAGATAGATCTTGACCTGATAAACAATTTTACCCATGTCAGATTTGCTTTAAATGCTTTGGTTTCAGAGATATAAGCTAAAATCTACATTTTACCCCAATGTTCTATATTTAGCCATGGCGGCCATCTTGGTTGGTTGGCCGGGTCACCGGACACATTTTTTAAACTAGATACCCTAATGATGATTGTGGCCAACTGTGGTTAAATTTGGCCAAGTAGTTTCAGAGGAGAATATTTTGGTAAAAGTTAACGACGACGGACGACGACGGACGACGACGACGACGGACGACGATGACGGACGACGGACGCCAAGTGATGAGAAAAGCTGACTTGGCCCTTTGGGCCAGGTGAGCTAAAAATGACCATAGCACAATTACACAATGGCGGGATGTATAAATACCGAGCCTAGTCAAAAGGATATTACCAAAAATGGACTAAAAAGTAAAGGTTAAAAATATACAAAGACAAATAAAAAGAACACTTTAACACGTAATTAAGATGATAAACAACATCAGTACCTATAATCTGTACTTGAAGAGAAGACCATTATGTACTATTTGTGAAATTGATACGGAATATTTATCAACAAGGTTTTGGTATCTTCCAATGATGTTTTTAAGAAAAAGGACGAGACATTTGTTAACATAACCCTGGTTCATCAACTTTCTTCTCAGACACTGGTAACGTTTTATAAAGTCTGAGTAGCAGCTGCAAGCTCTCGAAAACCGTATGAGTTGGGAAATGTATGTTCCATATGTAGGTGAAGTTGGTATATAGCTGCTAACGTGGGGACCTTTATAATTTTAAAATTAAAATCGTCTCGTTTGTCATAGAATCTGGTACCGAGATGACCGCTTATGTCAAATTTGAGATGTAAGTCCAAAAATAAGGCGGAGGAAGCCGTATCTATTGTTTCTTCAATTTCAAGGTCTAGGGGATATATTAATGGAACTCAATCAGAAAAGTTTGGATTGGAAAAACCATCATCAATAAATCTGAATGTGAAATTAAATGATCTGGCTTTTTGAATCTTCTTTTTTTTTTGACAAGTGTCAGAAGGAACTCCGACTCATATGAAAAAAAGAAGAGGTCGGCAAGGAGAAGCGCACAGTTCGTTCTCATCGGAATTCTGACAATTCGAATTTGACCCTGCTTTGTTCTAGACCGACCCGATTATTCTGACTCCAGATCAACCAATCTTTAAACCCGCTGCATTTGTATGCACCTGTCCTAAGACAGGAGCCTGTTGTTCAGTGGTTGTCTTGTTGATGTGGTTCATAAGTGTTTCTCGTTTCTCGTTTTTTATATAGATTAGACCGTTGGTTTTCCTGTTTGAATTGTTTTACACTAGTCATTTTGGGGCCCTGTATATGTTGCTGTTCGGTGTGAGCCAAAGCTCCGCGAGAAGGCCGTACTTTGACCTATAATTGTTTACTTTTTACTCATTGTGACTTGGATGGAGAGTTGTCTCATTGGCACTCATACCACATCTTATTTCTATTTGCTCTTAGTCCTTAATGCCGCGGAGAAGATTTTAAGTCATTCAAATTTTGCGTGACCTGGACGGAAATTTAACCCACGTCTTCTTGTATATATATCTTTACTCTCACAAATCAAATGACAAAGGTATAGAGATATTCGCACTCGATGTGAGCATTCCATCACGATCTGTGTTATCAGAAAGTTCTCTGTATGTATAGAATAAATTTATTTTATAACTCTGGATAGTCAGAACGTTCTCTGTATGTATAGAATAAATTTATTTTATAAATCTGTATGATCAGAAAGTTCTCTGTATGTATGGAATAAATTAATTTTTAACTCTGTATGATTAGAAAGTTGTGTGTATGTATAGAATAAATTTATTCTATGCATTATTGTAAATAGACAAATTTCATTGAACGGACAGCTAAGTATATGGCTCAAAATATTCTGCTCTCAGTTCTTAGTAGAAAGTCTCAATACTCGAAATAAATAGAGGTTTGAAAATAGTATTTTGTACAAAAGGTGCTTTGAGTGTGGACCTTTTTTTATTTTCCTTCATTTCTTGATTGTGTATTAAGATATTTCAAATTACTTTTTTTACTCATGTCTCTTATCCATACAATCTTAAATAACAAAAGTTTCTTAAAGCTTTTATCATTCGACAGCAAATGCTCTTTGGTCGGGTTGTTGTCTCTTTGACATATTCCCCATTTCCACTCTCAATTTTTGATTTTCAAAACAAAATTGTTTTGGTTAATTCACGAGATATTAAGTTTCAAATTCGTACATCATAAAATTTTAAATGATATCTCAAGGTCCACATGCTGTCAAGACATTTTTCATTGTTGTCCTTCATGTTTCATATTACTCTGTGTAAATGTCGGCTTATGATTTTATGGTGAATACTTTATACCGTATGAAGTTATAATACATAATTTTGTGTAATAACATATAAAAACAATTACCTGTGACACACATACATAAATTGATCCCCATCCAATAAGCAAGATACGTAATCCTCATTTTTACAAAACAGGAACTATTCTGTAATTGAAAAAAAGAAAAATAAACACTAATGTTACATTGTGTTGAATACTTGATATATATATATATATATTCCAGTTGTGGCCCCATCATGTATTGGCCAAAATAACCTTCATCACTGTTATCATTTACTATTGTCTTTGTTTTCTATTTCTCCTTTTTTTGTGATGTCTTTTTTTTCTATTTCTCCTTTTTTTGTGATGTCTTTTTTTTTCTTTTCCCCCTGTTTTTAAACTATCAAGAGAGTTTTGCTGAACTTTTTCTTTCCGATAAATATATTATTAGTGTTAGAAATGTACCATACCTAAAAACTACTAAACTATATAGAATTTTAAAAATCTGACATATTAGTCTATAGTTAGGAAATAAAATATTACCTGTTATGTAACAATTTCAATAGTATTGTGCTGGCTTGAATGATTATTGCGACTAAAACATTTTAAAACACGTGTCTATGATTTTCCTGTATAATATGATTTTGTCAGGAAATATACTAGACTTAAATGACTATGATTTTTTGTTTTTGTTTATTTCATTAAATCAACTGGAGTGTTGCTAGGTCAGATATAAAAAAAACATAGAAATTTAAAATTCAGGCCTTGTAAACTAAAACGTTAACACACATGGTTAACGCTTAGCGTGTCAGTCCAGTACAAAGCAGAAATATCACTGTAACATGTTCGTCGCCTAATGTAGGATTTGTTACTGGACGTTTATCACCAATCCATCATCATCACAATCATCATTAGCCTATGCTACTCAACTTACAACTTTTTTCCCTTTTTTTTTCCAAGATTACATTTGTGTACCCCCTTATCACACATCCCCACTGTTTTACCCCTATATCCCACATTCCACTTTTCACACCTATATCACTTATCTCAAAGGCGTGTCATCCCCCCATATGATTCGGTTATAATTATCATTAATTCATCGTTGATAGTGATTTGCTGAATTTCTATTCCACCTGAAAAGATATACGCAATTGTTTAGTGTTAAACAGTGAGAAAAACATTCAATCAACTTTTTTTTTATTTCTTTTGATCAACGTTTTACTTGCAGTTCAAAGAAAATGTGTTATTAAACTTCGGGTGCATGCTACTTTTTACTCAAATGTAAGATTTCTGTTACCAGCATATTTTGATACAAATGTCAAAGACAGCAGGACATATTTGTACATGTATTATTACTGTCAAATCAAATATCGTATTATACCGTTCAAGGACCAACATGTGGCAAGACAGACAACAATCTGGTACATACAGCGGATATACAATACAATGTTAAGGATACAATCGATCATTTCAAGAGCAACACTGGTGCTTATATGAACAAGGAATATCGCTTAGGTCTGTCAAACAGCAAAATGATAATAACACTACAAAAGACACCCACTGACGATGTTTTAGAATCCTAAATTCTGTCTGTGTTCTGATCAGGGAAAGCAAGTAATGACAGAAAATGATCTAACCCCCATCCCCATGAAAAACTCAATAAAAACAAAAAAACCCACAATAAGACATGAACAGAGAATTATCTTAGCATCAGTTACAGATGGCGATAACGGAGACAAACTGGTCCACATTTTTTTTCAGTTGAGATATAAAAAATCTTAGACAATCTTATGAATTATCTAGTGTCCGTAAACACATTTTCGAAAATAAACTAATCGTTCATGGAAACTTATTTACAAAAAAGAAAGAAAAAAGAATTTAACTAACACTAAACGAAACTAAAGAGAGGATTAAGGTAAATGTCAATAAGACAGCCACCTTATAACACGTAGACATGCAAAATACTTTTTTTTTATTTTTTTTACCTAAAAAAAAAAACCAATTTATAAGTTTTAAAATGTTTGAAATTTTTAAGACTGTTTTATAAGTATCTGTTTACATTTTAGTATGAATGAAAAGAAATTTGAGGTAAAAAAGATTGCAATCCAACAATACAAATTGCCAAACGACATCTAGAGCGGAAGAGATTGTCGTTACAATAGACTGGTATCTATATATATACAATATAAACAATTTTGTTAAAATGATGAAATGAGGAAAGAAACTAGAGGCTCTCAAGAGCCTGTGTCGCTCACCTGACTCTACTTTGGTTTTAGAAATCATGTAAAGAAAGATAAAAATCATAACAGATACCCAAATAATGATTGAGGCCAAATTTTGATTAATATTGGTCCCGTTATTTAATAAAATATCCTGGTGGCCATCTTGAACAGTAAATCGGCAACAAAGTAGCAACACTTGGTCAGCACTTCATAAGGAACATTCATGCCATGTTTGGTTTCATTCCATTCAGTGGTACTCTAAAAGAAGACATTTGTATGTATTTCCCATAGGGTCCTATGTTAAACTAAGCCCCCCCCCCCCCCTAGCAGCCATCTTGGATGATGGATCCACTGCAAAGTAACAACACTTGGTCAGCAACTCATAAGGAACATTCATGCCATGTTTGGTTCAATTCCATTCAGTGGTTCTCTAAAAGAAGACAATTGTATGTATTTCCCATAGGGTCCTATGTTAAACTAAGTCCCCCGCTGTCGGCCATCTTGGATGATGGATCGGCTACAAAGTAACAACACTTGGTCAGCATCTCATAAGGAAGATTCATGCCATGTTTGGTTTCATTCCATTCAGTGGTTCTCTAAAAGATGACATTTGTATGTATTTCCCATAGGTCCTTTGTTAAACTAAGTCCCCTGCTGTCGGCCATCTTGGATGATGGACCGACTGCAAAGTAACAACACTTGGTCAGTACCTCATAAGGAACATTCATGCCATGTTTGGTTTCATTCCATTCAGTGGTTCGCTAAAAGAAGACATTTGTATGTATTTCCCATAGGTCCTTTGTTAAACTAAGTCATCTTGGATGATGGACCGACTGCAAAGTAACAACACTTGGTCAGCACCTCATAAGGAACATTCATGCCATGTTTGGTTTCATTCTATTCAGTGGTTCTCTAAAAGAAGACATTTGTATGTATTTCCCATAGGGTCCTATGTTAAACTAAGTCCCCCGCTGGCGGCCATCTTGGATGATGGATCGGCTACAAAGTAACAACACTTGGTCAGAACCTCATAAGGGACATTCATGCCATGTTTGGTTTCATTCCATTCAGTGGTTCTCTAAAAGAAGACATTTGTATGTATTTCCCATAGGGTCCTATGTTAAACTAAGTCCCCTGCTGGCGGCCATCTTGGATGATGGACCATCTGCAAAGTAACAACACTTGGTCAGCATCTCATAAGGAACATTCATGCCATGTTTGGTTCCATTCCATTCAGTGGTTCTCTAAAAGAAGATATTTTTATGTATTTCCCATAGGGTCCTATGTTAAACTAAGTCCCCCGCTGGCGGCCATCTTGGATGATGGATCGGCTACAAAGTAACAACATTTGGTCAGCACCTCATAAGGAACATTCATGCCGTATTTAATTTCATTCCATTCAGTGGTTCTCTAAAAGAAGACATTTGTATGTATTTCCCATAGGGTCCTATGTTAAACTAAATTCCCCAATGGCGGCCATCTTGGATGATGGATTGGCTACAAAGTAACAACACATGGTCAGCACCTCATAAGGAACATTCATGCCATGTTTGGTTTTATTCCATTCAGTGGTTCTCTAAAAGAAGTCATTTGTATGCATTTCCCATAGGGTCCTATGTTAAACTAAGTCCCCCGCTGGCAGCCATCTTGGATGATGGATCGGCTACAAAGTAACAACACTTGGTGAGCACCTCATAAGGAACATTCATGCCATGTTTGGTTTCGTTCCATTCGGTGGTTCTCTAAAAGAAGTCATTTGTATGCATTTCCCATAGGGTCCTATGTTAAACTAAGTTCCCCGATGGCGGCCATCTTGGATGATGGATCGGCTACAAAGTAACAACACTTGGTCAGCACCTCATAAGGAAGATTCATGCCATGTTTGGTTCTATTCCATTCAGTGGTTCTCTAAAAGAAGACATTTTTATGTATTTCCCATAGGGTCCTATGTTAAACTAAGTCCCCTGCTGGCGGCCATCTTGGATGATGGATCGGCTACAAAGTAACAACATTTGGTCAGCACCTCATAAGGAACATTCATGCCGTATTTAATTTCATTCCATTCAGTGGTTCTCTAAAAGAAGACATTTGTATGTATTTCCCATAGGGTCCTATGTTAAACTAAGTTCCCCGATGGCGGCCATCTTGGATGATGGATTGGCTACAAAGTAACAACACATGGTCAGCACCTCATAAGGAACATTCATGCCATGTTTGGTTTTATTCCATTCAGTGGTTCTCTAAAAGAAGTCATTTGTATGCATTTCCCATAGGGTCCTATGTTAAACTAAGTCCCCCGCTGGCAGCCATCTTGGATGATGGATCGGCTACAAAGTAACAACACTTGGTGAGCACCTCATAAGGAACATTCATGCCATGTTTGGTTTCGTTCCATTCGGTGGTTCTCTAAAAGAAGTCATTTGTATGCATTTCCCATAGGGTCCTAAGTTAAACTAAGTTCCCCGATGGCGGCCATCTTGGATGATGGATCGGCTACAAAGTAACAACACTTGGTCAGCACCTCATAAGGAACATTCATGCCATGTTTGGTTTCATTCCATTCAGTGGTTCTCTAAAAGAAGACATTTGTATGTATTTCCCATAGGGTCCTATGTTAAACTAAGTTCCCCGATGGCGGCCATCTTGGATGATGGATCGGCTTCAAAGTAACAACACATGGTCAGCACCTCATAAGGAACATTCATGCCATGTTTGGTTTTATTCCATTCAGTGGTTCTCTAAAAGAAGTCATTTGTATGCATTTCCCATAGGGTCCTATGTTAAACTAAGTCCCCCGCTGGCGGCCATCTTGGATGATGGATCAGCTACAAAGTAACAACACTTGGTGAGCACCTCATAAGGAACATTCATGCCATGTTTGGTTTCATTCCATTCAGTGGTTCTCTAAAAGAAGACATTTGTATGCATTTCCCATAGGGTCCTATGTTAAACTAAGTCCCCCGCTGGCGGCCATCTTGGATGATGGATCGACTACAAAGTAACAACACTTGGTCAGCACCTCATAAGGAACATTCATGCCATGTTTGGTTTCATTCCATTCAGTGGTTCTCTAGAAGAAGTTCAAAATGTAAAAAGTTTACGCCGACGACGGACGACGCCGGACGACGACGGACGACGGACGACGGACGCCAAGTGATGAGCAAAGCTCACTTGGCCCTTCGGGCCAGGTGAGCTAAAAACAACAAAGGAACCAAAAACAAATCCCTTAACTCAAACAAATACGACATGTACCAAACGTGTTACCGTGAACACAGGATGTGAAATACCTCTTTCTATCAAATTCATGTAGGGGAAATCATACTTCCACAAACATCTCCATATTTGTAATAAAATTGAGTAATTTTGACCAATTTGTGAAAGCTATATTTCTGATGTAACCGTTTTCTGTTATGAACTTAATTATCCATTCTCGCAATCCGATACTTTACAGCAAAAAAATCCGCATATCAAACAAACTAAGAAATGCACACTTCGCAAAGAAAAACCGAAAAAGAACCGACGTTGATTGTAGTTTAAACAGTTGAATGTTTACCGTTTTATAAAAATAGGATGTGGTATGATTGCCAATGATACAAATCTCCACCAGAGACCAAATGACATAGAAGTTTACAACAATGAGCAAAAGCAAAACCGATACCGCTAAGTCAGCTTCTAAAGGCCCCGAAATGAAATTGTAAAACAATTCAAACGAGAAAACTAACGGCCTTATTTTTGTACAAAACAATGAACGAAAAATATATATGATATACTGTAACAGCAACAAACGACAACCACTGAAATACAGGCTCCTGATTTGGGACAGGCACATACAGAATGTGGCGGGGTTAAACATGTTTGTTGGCACCAAACCCTCCACAAAACCTGGGACAGTGGTGTAGGAGTACTACATAAGAACAAACAATAACTATTATCTGTTTAAAAGGGCTTAACTCATCAGATTGATACAAAACAGAAAAACAACTAACAAAAACACAGAATGAACGTGCCAGGGTATTTATGTCAATTACAGTCGTTTAACCTATTTTCTGTACAATTCTGTTGAAAATAACAGCGACTGAAGCGTCACCATGTTAATGGATCTACTAATAAAGATGCAGATGAACCCAAAGGGACAATCAACATGTATATTCGAAGAGAAACAGACAGACTTTTGCAAAACAGAAATAGAAAAATCAAACAACAGTCTTTTAAAAGTAGAAATCTTTGATGGTAAAGTTTTTATTTAATTTAGTAGACTGCTGTATGTCGTTCCTCTTTTTTTTTGACAATGAAATAAATTCACCAAATTAACGCATTTAATAAACATTGAAATTTGAATGTGGTTTATATTGGAGATAATTTGGTAGTCCAAATGGATATCAACAAAGGCAAAGCTTTTATTGTAAATTTGTTGACGTCCTCCCAAGTAATGTTAATGTGGTTTGAGGAAGAGTGAAAAATATGTAAGCAGTAGGAAGGTAGTGTCCGTCAAACAATTTATCACAAAAAAGGAAATATAAAATTCTTTCAGAAATCGAACAAAGAATAAATACAAAAAAAATCACGTGTAATAGCTTGACCGAAACAAGAAAGCGACAGTACAAACATGTAAACAACAATACGGTGCAAATGAAAGATTGATTGATTGTTAGTTGCTTGACGTCCAGTGGCAAATATTTCATTCATGTTCAGAACGATGTAAATGAAAGAAAACTGGTATAAAACCATGTCGATGGGCAGTACATTTAATATAATATATAATTTAGCAGTAATACAAATAAAAATAAAAAAAATGCTGAATATAATTAATGTCAAGTTGGGACGTTATCTTCAAAACTAAAAATTCCAAAGAGAAAAAAGAAAACAAAAATATTGGATCAAAAACACATTCTTCTGTATCTATACAAAACAGGAGAAAAACTACGTTATAAATTTGATATGAATAACAGGATATGTGGAGTATACGTCAATGAGACAGCAACCGAACGATACTAGTAACCAATGACACCAACAGAGCAAGTTACAGTCTTCAAATATATAATCTACAATGTAATGTTCAAGACATTTTTACCGTAACTGTGAACGTAAATTTTCCGTATACAATTTCAAAGGTTAATATCATGATTAAAGACTTCTATAACAAAATGATTTACATAAAACATTGCCAATTTGTTGAGATATATTTTCTATACGAGATTTACCATTGAAGGTTGTAAAGACGTTATCGTTTGTGATATAACTAATCTTTTTCGAATTTACTTCACTAAAGCAAACAATAATCATTGAAATTAGGTTTTTAGAATTTTAGATAAGTCTCATATCAAACCTCGGATATATATTGCATGTATTTTTAACGTGTATGTAACCTTTCTACCCTTTGTTGTACGTAATTGATGTTGCTATAGAAAACACAGACTTGTCTGTAAAACAAGACTTGAAGGAACTTCCTAGTTGTAAGTTAATATATACTTATTTTTAGTTCTGATTTTTTTAATTATTAAATTTTGTAAAATACTTTTTAACGCTAATAAAAAGAGGTTAGACAAATTTCAATTGAATTTATTTCACCGTTAAAATTGCTTCAATCTTCACAACCGTTTTATTAGTATTTTGATAAAAATTCGGATCTTGACCTCGTCAGTTAAACATATTCATGGGGAACTGGTCATACATGTTAAAATTGATGGGTATTTTGGATGACTAACCATGTATGGCATTACATTGTTATTTTATTTATAAGCAAAATAAAGATACATGCATTTGTTTCAGGAATGTCTAATTATTTTTGTCTTCCTATGATCAAGTCGGAGGCTTTTGCGATTCGTGTATAATTTAAAGAAAGGACAGGTATGAAGGATCATGAAGAAGCAGTATCACGATTGACCACCAAAATTAAAATGCAGAAGGTATCACAAGCATGCGATAACAAAAGTATAAAATGAAAAAAAAATAAACAAGCTGTTAAACAAAGCATACTCACAGTGCGATCTAAAGAGTTAAATTAACTACATGTAGCTACATTTGAGGTCAAAGGGACTCAAAAGTAAAGGTTAATTACTAATATTCAAATAAGGAGAAATATCTGAGGATTTGGTACATTTTGAGTGTAATCATATATAATACTTAGGCATTTTGTCTAACTAAAGGTTGTAACTCCCTCCTTTGATTTCGTTGACTTTGGATTAAGTTGGCTATTGTGTTTGGCGTTTATTCTCTGAATAAATATTTGGCCTCCAAAGGCGTTACTCTTTTACGTTACTGAACGTTATTCAAGAAACACGTGTTTATTGATATGAGTGGCTAACAAAACGTCTGAAGGGATTTTTTTGGTGAAACTTTGTGCATAAATCACCACATACGAATGATAAGAGAAGCACATAATATCAAGAACGATTGGCAGAAACTTTTTTCAGATGTTGTTGGAAGTTTATTCAACAGTTGTTGTTGACCATTGTTGTTAGAATTTAATCTGTCAAACTGAATGTATTTGATATTTCTGTACGAATAGTGTCTCAATTTGTTGAATGGTGTATCGTCGTCACTGTTAACATGCTACCTTATGGTTTAATTTGCATTTGTTCCACATTTTGTTCATTCTTACATGTACATGTAATATGCATAACAAATTACCAAGCGGATTCAAATAAAACACTATAGTAAAACCATTTTAATGATTCTTTTTTCACATTTTTGAAAGTTAAAAAACATTTACTACATTCTTATTTCTTTAATTTGTAATTATTTATTAAAAAAATCAAGTAAAATAAAATTCGTAATAAAGAATTCATCTTCCAATTTTAGATACAAGTAATGGCATTTAGTATATTCCTATAGTTTGGAATGACTAGCATATCATACAAAAACGTAAGAAAACTGACAATTAGGGTCAACACCGGGAGGATCTAGGATTTAAAAAAAAATCCTCTATGGGGCTATCGGAAAATTAGTAGCAAATTAATCTAAGGAGAGCAGTCAAATATCAGAAAAATGTAATTAGAAAAAACGGTCATTCGACACTGATGAAATAATGCCTTTCTCATCCATAATTTTGACTGCTCAGATCAAATTACGTAGTTCTAAAACTAAGTCCAAATAAGTAATGATATATTTTATTTTCTACATTACGCAGTTAGAATATATTCGGTATCGTAGCTGACATATTTGCGAATAGATCAACACGTATTAGATAATCTTTAAAAATAACTCAAAAGTAATCGTTCCAATGTACATGTCACTTGATTAAGCATTTAAGTTTACGAGGAGACAAGAACGGAGATACTTTACTATGGTTTCTCGTTTAAACCACGGGAGGTCTCAACATACAAATGTCGGTACAGTCGTCCGGCTCGGGTTTAAAACCAGCCCCATTCATTTGTTGATTTTTGAGAAAATCTCTACTCTTACGTATATTTCATAGGAAAATCTTATTTCCCAGCTATCAGTTAGACAATATGTACGTGACATCATAATTTAATAATGTTCATACGGTATCATTTATCTTAATTACATAAAAAAAATATCAGTACACAGTGTTTACAGACATCTTAGCAGAAGATGAACATGTGTGACCATTGACATATTAATATCTACCCATTGTTATATAGCCTCTGTGAAAATGCACCCCATTGATATATTTGACAATGTGAATTTTTTTGGTATCCATAATAGCGCATGTCTGTGTACCTTTATAGGAAGACCCCCAACCCCTAAAACAAACAAACAAACAAACAAAAAAACATGGTTCAAACGGAACGAACTAAAGCAATCAGATAAAAAGAGACTATCTGAAAATTTACTAGGGTACATTTCTATATGTTTCTGCAGTGAATGAGAATATGTTGGAATGGTGTGTTCTCATTTCGCCTTAGCTGTGAATTACAGGTAAAAAAGGTAAAAAAAATACTAAGGCGAGATGGGAATTGTACTAAGGCGAAATGTGAATTTAGTTAAAAAATTTAAATAAACAAATCAAACCTTTGTGTTTTTATAACAATTTAAACAACATGTAATGGGTGAATTGTTTCTCTTGAGTTGTTATTTTTATATTCAATCATTAAATTTTCAAAAGTTGTGAAATCAGAAAAAAATCTGCAGTAAAAAGATTTGTCAGTAGGAATGTTGCTTCTCTTGAAATATTTTTTGTTTCATTTCATAAAAGTTGCAATTTTATGAATTTTATGCAATTAGAAAAATC